AGCCTTGGGTACATGGTGCTGACTGTACTACAGTGGATCTGTAGCATTCCATGTTCCTTTTTTCTAGGACAGATTTGAGGCTTAGCAGTGTTGAAATCCTTTGGGCCTTGCCACATTGTTTTCCATCAGTAGCTAGATCTTGTGCACCCTGGGACTTTTGTTGCTAATAATTACTCATGTTTTCAAGACCTTCTTGTAGGTTGTTGCTCAGAGCTGTCTAAGAGACTCTCAAAATATACTGCTGACTGCTGATGTCCTAAGCTCCACCACCCCACAAAGGTGGAAGGTAAATTCCCTAAAGCTGAAAACACCATGCACAACATTAAAAGTTACAGAGGCTCTTGAACTAGAACTGACTTGAACACTCCTCCCTGAGGACAAGTTTTCATAGTAGCAGAAGGAGCCATGCACAACTTCCAAAAGACAAAGACAAAACACTGTCCTATCCAGCTATGATGTCCATGAACCACATCAATTACCAACATGGCATAATAACTCTAGGGGTGGAGTAATGGTACACTACCTTAGAGGTAACCATTGACTCTAATTGAACTTAATACTTGTTCAACATGAGGGATGTTGTTCCTGGTACTGAAAATCAAACTAAAAAAATCTTTGCTAGTGTGGTCCTGGAATTGGAGAGCAATTAGCAAACAATAATTTACTAAACCAGCATAATCCCTACCAACAATCTATAAACATCTGTCCTTATTATCTGTGGGAACAAATAAGTGTAGATTTCAACTTTTTTCAAGGAAACTGCTCTTTGGAACAGATAGAGAACACAGCAGAAAACCACAACCAATCAGCATGCAGAGTTGTGGAGATCAGCCCCAGTAAATAGGACTACAAAAATAAATAAATAAATAAACCCTCCCATACTAAAGATGCAGGGAACCTTGCAGTAGAGGGAGAAGCAAGATCGGAAGTACCAGAGGTCAGGAACTTTGCTATGAGATTGTCTGTCCTATTAACGACAGAAACTTCACTGGCAAAGTCCTACCAAAATTACTATCAAAATGTGAAATATACAAGTAGAATACCAACAAAGAAAACAAACTGCATTGGGGAAAGCCCAGGAGACCTCAACCCTACACAAAGACCTAGAGGCAAAAAAGGGGGTAGAGAGGGAGAATTATTGTCATTAAGAAACAATCTTGAAAAAGAAGCAAAATTTAATTATTCATGTGTTGGGATTTCTTATATCAACTGTTTTGGATTTAATTCCTTAACAACTAGCAAGTGTTTGTGTGTGTGCTTACATAATGTGAACATTCTCCATGCAATTTTTGTGCTTTATTGTACTAATCTTTTTTGCTGTTGATGTTTTTTTTGGTAATCTCTCTCCCTCTCTCTCTCTCTCTCTCTCTCTCTCTCTCTCTCTCTCTCTCTCTCTCTGTCTCTTTCTCTTTCTCTCTCTCTGTCTCTCTCTCTCTCTCTCTCTGTGGTGTGTGTGTGTGTGTGTGTGTGTGTGTGTGTGTGTGTGTGTGTGTTGTATTCAAGTATGGGAGGAAGCATATTTGAGGAGATGTGATGCAGTGGCTGTAGAAGATAGTCACCTAGTATCTTGCTCATGGCTGATACCATGTTACAAAGGGAATTATGACAGACAAGTGGTAGAATTTTAAACAAGAATGATTAGTTAATTGTTTCCCATGTTTGCTCAGAAAAAGAAGACAAGAGTCAGAGGTATAATCAAGAAAGAGAATGAGTGAAAAAAAATTGAGAGCCATTTTGGACAATGGAGAATGTAGTTCCTACATGAATAATGATTTCAAAAAGAAAGAGAAGGGGAAGGGACTCAGCGAAGTTTAAACCACTGAAACTGATGTTGACTTTTGAGTCATTCACAGAAATAAAGACAAAAGGGAAAGAAAATGCAACAAATAAATGCTTTGTTTGATTATAAGGAAGGTGAGCTGCATACAGAACTTGTATATGTCATTATAGAACACTTGAGTTTTCATATGAATATTATTTTCTTAATAAATATATAGGTGCTTCTTATTTTGGTAAAGCCCTCAGTGAAAAAAAAAACTCCTATTTTGATTCTCAAATTCTACAACCTACTAAAGTGTATTTTACAAGAAAACAATTGTGTATATATATTATGTATACATATATACATAAATATACATATATTAGAAACATGTAATATGTTGATATGTGTATAAATTGTAAATGTTTACCCAAAATCAACATAATTTGCATATATATCACTTCATATATTTGAATTCCTCTGTTTTGTTTTGGTAAAAATACCTAAGTGAATACTCAACTATTAAGTTAATAATACTTAAGTTAAAAATATCTTGACAAAATTTAAGTATATATTGTGTTGTCATTGACAACAAAATTAATATGTTTTGATTGTTCTAAAATCACCATAAACAACAGAATTGTATTTGTTACATTTGAAGACTTGAAATAAGTCCCAGTTTGAGGAGTTCATTGACTGGTGCAATAAATATCTGATGGTGGCTTTCTGGTTCATAGACAAAGTCTTTGCAGTAAGTACTCAGATGACATAATAGGCAAGAAAAAATCTCTGAGATCTCTTTTTGAGGTTACTAACATCGGATGTCTCTAAAGTTTCTACATCCCGGTATGTCACACAGATAATTCGTTTTTCAGTGTGTGGATTTGATGAGTACCCAGACATAGGTGAGTACCATAGAAACTGTTATGTTGTACTTTTAATCCCAAGACTTGTCTTATATAACTGAAATTCTGGAGCCTTTACTGACATTTGCCGTGTCATTTGCAGACAGGAAAATTCCAATACTAGAAAAGTCTTCATAAGATGAAGAATGCAAAATGTCTTTTTAATTGTTTATTATTTTTAGTTACTGCAGATTTTTCCTAAATGTAACAATTAACTGTTCATCTACTACTTCCTAAAATACATATCCTATTCAACTTTGCTATCAGTCTACAATATAAAATATAATATACAATATAAAATAATTGATATCTACAGTTCATCTAGCATTAGAAATTTAGTCACCTTGTATAGTTGTTTTATTTTCAATTATTATGGCATAAATAGTTTAACCTTTCCAAAGGAAGGCAGCTTTAATTAATAAGGAAGTTTGGGAAATATTGTCTGATGATCTTTAGAGGTGTTGCTATGTTAAAAAAGGATATTACCTTAGATTTTGCTATAAGCATGTTGATAACCATCACAAACATTTTAGAAGAAAAGAGCACAAAACATACACACTCTTACACTCCTCCATATTAATCCTCATATGCACTCTTCTAGGTTAGTCTATTCTTTCATTATGTCCTCTAAGCTCAGGGGAAATTTTTCTTCCTCTTAATTAAAATACTTCACTTCACTCTTAGTACAGACCTCAACACTACCTTTAATTAATATTGTTCTGTGTGGACTCATTGCTTTCCCTCTTCCAGGAATTTCCTCTCCTAAGGAAAATATGCAAGTATTAATATTTCAAAGGTCCCCTGTGCAACAATCTGCGCTATAAAAGAAATGGAGCTGTCCTGCTCTGTCTTCAGTAACAATGGATGAATTCCCTGTTAGCTCCTACTACAGTCAGGTTTCTGCTCTCATCACCCTTCTGAAAGCTTCTCAAAAATCATGTCATGACAGCTTTATTTGTTAGGACTACTAGCCATTTCTTTTTTCTGTCATCTTGCCTCTCACCTTTCTAAGAGAGTCAGTGGTTCTGAGTGTTGACATTTTACTCTGTCTTCAAAATTTCTCTACTTCACATTGGAACCCTGCAGCTATTTGTTACCTGGTTTCCTGCTAAGGCAATTTCTTCTTCCTGTCCACATTGTTTAGGTTTTCAGGAAGTGGTTCTTTCCAGGTCTTTTCTCTCTCCATTCTCATTGTTGTAAAATAACGGTTTTTGTGTGTGTCTGTGTGTGTGTGTGTGTGTGTGTGTGTGTGTGTGTGTGTGTGTGTGT